GTAACATCGTGAGCACCCACTTCGAACCAAGCTCGGCAAGACTAGCATTTCCATGTTGGGACGAACCTGAATTCAAGGCTAAATTTACAATCTCAGTGGTTCGACCCAAGGGTTTAATATCTTTGTCAAATATGCCCTTGAAGAAAACTGAAGACCTTCAGTTCTACCAACCAGGAACGGTGAGTTTCAACCTTTTTCGAGTACGCTACAGTTTCTGTTCAGGGAGTCAAACTTGGGCGACATCTTTGAGAGAAAGAATAAGTAGATTTTTTTTGTCGAATTCGCTGCTTATTTATGCGCTTTGGTTTGAATGTCGGAAATCGGACTTAATTACTGAAAGAATTTATGCCAGTCTTCGTATTTCCTCCAGGAAATGCCATTAAAATATACTGATTTCATTTCAGAAATGATTTTCATATTCAACTTCTTTCAACCTAGAAACTTTTTGATAACAATTTCTCAGAAATAGTTTATGTCATGTCTCGCTCAGGTTTATAAGACCTTCGAGGAATTACACTTCACGCGGATTCTTATATGCAGTATAAAATTCACATACTCGAAAAACATTACTGTAACTCCTTTGATTCATTCAACTTCCTTCAAATGTATACCAATTTAAGTTGAATTTATTTCACCCAAAACGTGAGTATCTTTTTTGAATAATTCTTTCAGGCTACTCATTATTGAAAGCTCTGCGAAATCGCTGTGTGAAATTTTCTGCTCAACATTTACTGTGTAAAACGTCACCTGACGGTGTCCCAATTTAGATGAGAAAATATGTTGATATAATCTTTCATAGATGTCGCGCAAGTGCATAAATATTGCGGGATTTCCCTCACGAAAAATATTTCACCAAGCTATATTTTTAATTGCAATTTTTTCGTCCTATTGGACTTGCTGGTTAAGGGCTAAAAAATTTTTCAATGTTCATGGCCAAAAATTTTTCTTTCAAATTCTTTTTTAAACGCTTCTCATCGGATGGAATCCAGGTGAAAGACGAGAGTGGAATGGTGTCAGCAACGGCTATGGTAATCTTTCCTACTATGGAACATCTCGGATTTACTTTTGTATATTCCTCTGATGTGCCTGATCTATGAAAAGAATTATCTTCGCTTGAAATATTGCAGGAAAGGGACGATTTCATGACTTCAGTGCCGATGAGCACCTACTTGGTCGCCATTGCCGTGTGTGACTATGTGTATTTACGAAGCACCACGGCAAAAGGCGTGAAAATCAGCCTCTACGCGCCAGCAGAACAAGTTTCTAGAGGAGGTTTGGCTCTGAACACTGCCTTGCAAGTTCTGACTTACTACGAAGAATTTTTCGGGGTTTCTTATCCCCTGCCGAAACTAGGTAATGTTATTTTGACGAACATGCATTGAACCAAAAAAAAAACAAATGAAATCAAAAACATTCAGCCAGAAAATAGTTCGTGAGTTGAATTAATTAATTTTTTTTGCTTGGTGAAATGGCTGAATTACTTTTATCGTTTCTCATCACCTGCTAAAATAACTAGGTAGAATATATTTATATTTTTTTAAACGAAAAATGCAGTACCGAAAATGATGAATAAAAAATAGTTCTTGGACTGAACGTTGAATTAATATATTGCTTCTTTTTCTTTTCGGCGAAATGGATGAAATACTCTTTGAAGAGCTCCAAATAAAACATTTTAATTTACCGGATACCACAATTAACACATTTTTTTCCAACTTTTTCCTGTAAAGTGTCAATCATCTGCGGACGAATGTTGAATTCGTCCGGATTCTTATTCATTGAAGGCATTGATAGAAAAGGGCATCGTCATGCTGGCTTTANTATACTGTATTCCTACGCTTTAAATCGTGTATATACAACTGAAATATAAATATCTTTTAGATTTTGGTCATCCAATACCTGCTTATATTTTCTTTAGCTTCCTCGTATCACTTCAAAGATTCTTGAATTTTTAAAATAGGATTGATCTCGTTCATCACCATTCGCCGATTCGCCTTGAATTGAATTTGATAATTTCCAAGATGGTTTATAAAACTGAGCAGTATCAAGACATTTCTTGACTATATTTTCGTTTCATTGCAGAACTTCATGAACAGTTGGGTGGACAAGCAGGGCTATCCACTCATAGAACTCAGTATGGATGATGGGGAATTGATTGCCAGACAGAGAAGGTACAGCAATTCAAGAACACCCCCATGTCCGGGTCCAGCGGAAGCACATCTTTCAAATTCTCCTTGCTCGGATATTTGGAACCTGAGGCTGACTTGCCTAGTTGGTGGCAGAGATGGCGCTGTCACTCGCGATGGAGCATGGATGAACAAAACTTCCAGTAATAATGCTCATTACTATTGTATACTTTATGTGCACAGTGAAATCTTGTTACAACGAAGTCCCAGGAACTCATGAAAAAATCCGCTCTATATACAGTATATATAATTTTGTAGGACTGAAATTTTATGGGAAACAGGAGGAAAAATTATGCTCTGAAGTGCTGTACTTCAAAGCATATAAATACAGTAGAATCTCATTGCAACAAATCTTGTTATAACAATTTTTTGCCTACAAAGAATTTTGTTTCCTGATGGCAGTTACCCTTAATGTGTAGTTTAAATTAATCTTGTTTTAAGGAATGAATTTTGTACCAGCTCTCTGGTTACAGCAAATTTTTGTTCCCAATTTTTAAAAATTTCCCATAATTTTTCCAATTTTGGCTCTAATTTCTGAATTTTTCTTTCCTGAATGTTTGTACAATGCCCTATTTCCTGGGGCTCAACAGTATAAAAACAGAGTCATAAGAAAGGAAGCTGAAAATTGGTTACATGACTGTACAGCAGGAAGCTCATGAAATAAATGTACCCTGATTAATTTATCTATTTTCTAAGGAGTCTGGAAGCATAGTGAAAACTTGGAGCTGAGCCTCCAAGAGCCACCAAAATCTATGAATTCCATTCTAATGCTCTTTTGTGTGGAGTTTTTATTTTAAAATTTAAAATTTGTTGAAAATTTGTAATTATTATAGTGAAAGGATTGTGTTTTCATGTTCCAAAAGCATTTGGGAGATGTTTTAGTGAATTCTGTGGCAAATATACTCTGCAAAAATTGCCCAGAGTGAAATCACTGACTATTTAAAGCAGTAAAATGCTTGTTCACATGTTGAAGTGTTGTTTCTGCAAATAAGTACATAAATCTCAATATAACAAATTTTTTGTTATAAAAAATGTTTTTTCTGGTCCCTGGGAGTTTTTTGTAGTGAGATTTTACTGTATTTGAATGAAGTAACCTAGAAAAATCGAATTTTAAAATCTTTTTTCAGACCTTCACTCTCTTGAGCTTCCTGAAAAATTATAGATGCATTAAAGCTTCATAATTCCTGCAATGATGAATTTTCTGCACAAAAATATCATTTATATTTTGAAGGTTTATAAATTATGCACATGCTGGTGTTTTCCATAATTTACCAATACTGATGAAAGATGCAAACCAATAACCGGTTTTCTGTACATGAATTGTCCATAAAAACGGTTCATTCGCCAGCCAGTTAAACCACAATGCTGATCTTTATATAATGACTTCCACCTACTGATAAAAAACCGCAGGGACTTCAAGCTTCAATTCCCCGCAATTAAATCTCTGCGCGTCGCTCCACTTGGAGTCGATTCACAGAAAACAAATTGCGCTTTCTTTCTTTTATTTTTTTTCGATTTCCCCGTTTTTTTTTTCGACTTGAGAGAAAAGATTGAGTTTCACAGTTTGTTCATTCTTCCGCAGCGTCGTTCACATTGAGGAAGAACATGAAGTACGTCAAGTGTAATGTGCAGGGCAAAGNTGTCCATAAAAACGGTTCATTCGCCAGCCAGTTAAACCACAATGCTGATCTTTATATAATGACTTCCACCTACTGATAAAAAACCGCAGGGACTTCAAGCTTCAATTCCCCGCAATTAAATCTCTGCGCGTCGCTCCACTTGGAGTCGATTCACAGAAAACAAATTGCGCTTTCTTTCTTTTATTTTTTTTCGATTTCCCCGTTTTTTTTTTCGACTTGAGAGAAAAGATTGAGTTTCACAGTTTGTTCATTCTTCCGCAGCGTCGTTCACATTGAGGAAGAACATGAAGTACGTCAAGTGTAATGTGCAGGGCAAAGGTTTCTACAGGGTTGCTTATTCGGCCGACTTGTGGCGAATGCTGCAGGCGTCGATTGACGATTCGCCGTCGAGTTTCGACACTTTGGACAAGGCGTCGTTGTTCAGCGACGCATTCGCACTCACATGGTAAAAGCATGCTGAAAAAAAAATCCAGAAAGAGTTTTTGAACTGCATTTCATACAGAAGAGGATTAAAATGTCCATATTTTTGCAAAGTAATGATTTTAATCCCCAGGAAGAAATAATGGCTTATGTTAGAAATTGTTCAAACAGCTCAAGAAAAAATAATTTCAGTACATTCAATCGCTTCAGCTATAGACAATGAGACTTTTTAAATAATTTTTTAAATTAATTTTATTCTTGTAAATTTATTATTTAAAAAATCTTATTACAAAGCAGGTCAATTTATTTTCTATTTTCACAGTTTTTCTGTCATCTGTGCACAAAATAGCAAGACCTGCGCTTGTTCTTAGCTTTTAGGCTCCTTTTCATGGAAAAAGATCAGAGTCTGCCTGGTTGGCTTCTGCACAGCTATTTTCTGCACCTTGATATTGAGAAAAGCTATTTCATCCAATTTTCATGGGAATTTTTTGTAATTTTTGATGAACAAGAGAACCAATTAAATATGTTCCCATTGAAGTACATGGGAAAAAAGATCTGGCGTGCAAAAATTCTGACATTTGAACAAGGTCCGAACACTAATTGTGTCCACATCTTGAGGCCCCAGTGTATGTCTCAGCATCCATTCATCAGAGCCCCACTGTATTTTTGTTGCTTGGATGGTGGATGGTTCCTTTGCATCCCAGAACAGATACAGAATTTTTCTTGAATAAGGCACAGTTCAATTTGACCATTGGTACAACCCTTGTTCAGAAAAATTGGGATATTTTTGCAAAATGTTGTGCCCATGAGCACTGAAAACAAAATAAAAATCCTACTTTGGTACCAGAAGTCAGGAAGCAGTCCAATATTTTTTTTTATAATCTTGCAGAAAATTTTGCATGAAAATTAAAAAATCCCTCACTGGGCTGCATTTTTTCCTGCATAGGATAGCATTGGAGATTCCTAAAAAGAAAACAAAAATTTCCTCCCAGGCTTTTCCTGACTTAGGCCTTCCCAACCAATGGAGTATTTCAGTGAACTTTCATTCTATTGCCATGCAATTGAAAAGAACCCTACACCATCCAAGGGCCAAAAGGCCCCAGGGTTGGGAAGGCCTAAGTTGGGAAAAAATCTGACTAAAGAATATCCCATTGTCTTAAGAAATCTCCAATGTTAATCCTATGCTAGGAATGCAGGAAAAAAATGCCAAGCCAGTGAGGAGATTTTTAAAATTCAGTTTGCTAAGGCAAAATGCTCTGCAAGAAAAAAAGGCTTTTTTCAAGACTCAAGCCTTATTAGTTCCAAAATAGTTTTTTTTCCAGTGCCCATGATGGGCACACAATTTTGCAAAAATATCTGGACTTTACTGCAGAAAGGTAAAAAATTGTCATGCATTCATTTACAGCAAGGCTATAACCAGGAATATCCACTTAATTAATTGGGGATTATTCAATAAAAATGGTCTTTATGCAGGTTTGGCGCGTCCCCCAGTGGGATCCAGAGGCCCATGAAGCTGGCCCTGTGTCTGCTGCCGCGGGAGACGGACTACACGGTGTGGGCCACCGCACTGGAGGAGCTGGCCCGAATCGACACCCTGCTGCGGTTTCAGCCAGAGCAGAAAAGGTTCCGCGACTTTTTGTGCCGCGTCATGAAGACCGTGTACGAGACGCTTGGCTGGGTCCACGAGGGCAGCCACCTGGACAAGTAATTATCCATCCCTGGTTTTTTTTTCATCCCAAAAACATTTCCTTTTTCATCAATTTTTTTTCATCCTGTGTTTTCTTCTCTGCAGTATTTTCTTCTTTTTTTCATAAGCGAGGGTATTATATAAAATTCTCAATTATCCATCCTTGGTTTTTCATCCCAAAAACATTTCCTTTTTCATCATTTTTTTCCATACTGTGTTTTTCTCTCTGCAGTATTTTCTCTTTTTCATAAGCCAGGGTATTTTATAAAATTCTCAATTATCCATCCTTGGTTTTTCAAAAGCATTTCCTTTTTCATAATTTTTTTCCATACTGTGTTTTTCTTCTCTGCAGTATTTTCTCTTTTTCATAAGCCAGGGTATTTTATAAAATTCTCAATTATCCATCCTTGGTTTTTCATCCCAAAAGCATTTCCTTTTTCATCATTTTTTTCCATACTGTGTTTTCTTCTCTGCGGTATTTTCTTTTTTTCATAAGCGAGGGTATTTTATAAAATTTTTGCTCTTCCTCAAATTTTTGTACTGTACAATTGTATTCTATACAGACGACAGTATCCAGTATAAGATAATATGTACAAAATACCGTGTGTTTTTTTCTCAGCTGACAGTAGTTGGAAATTTTAATTTTCATTATAGAATGCTTCGGGCTAAAATCATGGAGACGAGTGTGATGATCGAAATGAGTGCAGCTGTGGAAACTGGGGTTGATTTGTTCAAGTCCTGGAAAGTTTCCATCGAAGACTACATCAAACATGCGAGACCCGGAGAAACGTCAATGAAAAGTTAGTACAGTATTGACAGTCATTTATAAAAACTGTAATGCATTCACAATTTTTCCAGCAAGGTTTTAAAAATGTGTAGGAACTACGATTTTTCTACGAAGTTGATTGAAGTTCTGATTCAATTTTACTCGTGGAATTTTCATTTCAGTATTTATACTTTTATTTATTTTGTTTTTGTCATCATCAGAGAGACTTCCACCGGATCTGAGGCTTTCAGTCTACATCGCTGGTGTTCGTTATCTGGGGAAAGATGCGTTTGATTTATGCCTCAAGGTTTACAAACGTTGCAATAATCCTGTCCAACGACAAGACCTTCTCATCGCCATGACCAAGACCAGGAACATTGCTCAACTGGAATGGTACTGTATATAGATTCTTTTAAACCAATTTTTGGAGTGAAAGAAAGTCAATTTTCTCTCACCACGAATGTTCCAGAATTATTTGATGAAAAACACACTTTAACTCACCATTCAAGAATAATTGTAAAATAACAGCCTGGAACTGATAAAAAGCGGGATACAAAATTAGCAATAAATCAGCATGACGCATTTCGTGAAGCCATAAAAGGTGATCAGTAATGCCAAGAGTTGTTTCTGATGGACAATTTGAGGTTTTGAGGTTTTCATTTTTTTGGTAAACCAGCAAGAATTGTTATTTGAGGCAATCAATATTTATATTATGTAAATAACAATGTAAAAAATCATTCTTTGCTGTTTTAGGCGCTGGTGATTCTCAGAAAATCATCCAAATGGAATTTGTCTGCAACAATTTTTTCCTTTTCCCCTCATTCGAGTTTTGTTGTGGAGAGAGTCTAATGATATATTTTTTTCTTACAAATGTGATGAGTAATGTTGAAAAAGAGAGGTCTAAAAAAATTACTGTGCTCTCAATTGTAAAAGAAAGTCACATGAAAATGTGTACCAAGCTATTATGCTCACCTCAATTTTCCCCCCAATTTTTTAAGATGAACAATGGTGTGCGTTGGTACTTGTAGATATGGTGTATGGGAAAAATGTGATCCAACAGGTGAATGTTACAACTGTTTGTGATTTCCCTAACAAAGAGAATTTATGATTAAAACACCATTATCAGCCTGGGGAGTCTCTTTATAGTGGCTCCAAGAAATTGATATTTATTGATGTCCCAAAAGAATCAACAACTCAGCCTCTTCTGCAAGAGTGATACACCTACAATAATTCACACAATTTCTAAGAGAATTGGTTCAAGCAGTGGAAGCTAAGAATGAGATTGAGATTTTGAATGAGAATTTGCTGTTGATTTCAAGTTTTTGAGGCTTTTATGCATAATTGGGGAAGGGTTTGTGTTAAACTTGCTCCTGGTGAAAGTTGGGCTTCCTTTTGCTGCTTTTTGATTGGTTATTCATGTTAAAACCAAAGACAATGTGTAGCATC